AGCAAGGGACAGAAGGAAAAGAGTGAAAAAGCATCAGAAGAAGAAAAGGTGGAGCTGACAATACATATTAAAAAGGCATAAATATCTACAAGAATTGTCATAAAAAAGCAGCACAGAACCCTTTGCTCTTTACACATAAAACAACTAACTAACAGCTCATGTGAGGAAACACTCAGCATGGCGAGTAAGGCCTGCACAAGGTAGTTCTAATTATTTGTGAAATGACAGTGGAGATTCAGTGACATCCAGCATAATTCCCCCTTGAGAAGCAGATCTGCAACCATGTTGCTATCTGCTTCCTAGCATCATTAAAAAAAAAAAAGACAGAGCACTAACCTCAGGTCCCCACGGAATGTCATAAATCCATTTAAGGTCTGGAGTGCTAGTTTGAATCTACCAGTAAATGTCTGATCCAGTTAAAAGACACATCAAGACTGGAAGTTCCCTGCTGGCTTCATGACATAAGAGATACAAGTGCATATAGTTTTTGTCTTTCTAGTTTTGACACTCATTTAAATGGTTTGAGATCAACTTCCACAAACAATTTATCTATCGGTTCCAATGTCCAACATTGCCCAAGCCAGCTCACCTTGTGCAGCTCTGCCCCTATGAGTACAGAGATATGTAGGTTGAAGGCTAAGTAAGAGAAAAGGACAGCAAGATACAGGCAAAAAATTCTTTTTGCATCCAAAGCTGAAATGCAGCATTCAGGTTTTGTATTTATGACACATCTGGGGAACGATGGGCTAGCATATAAAAGCCATCCTTTAAATTTTTTGTCTAGCTGGCAGTCACCCATCCTTTAATTTCTTTGTCTACCTAATCTAAAACTGAATTTAAACTTCCATTTAAAAATGGCTTCAACTCCTTGGACACACCATTTCTAGGTCTTTAAAATCTGCAACATAAATCAGAGGAAAGGTTTTCTTTTGTTTTTTTGCCTTATCAGTAATCAAACACATACATTTATTTTCCTTACTTTTTGTGTATTCAACTCTAATAAGCATCAATAAAAACTTACACAAGTCTAGAAAAAGCAATTAGTTCAGGGTGGACCAGATTCAGCTCCTATTAGAAATCAATAGACAGATTTCCATTGGTTTCAAAGGTGATGAATTGGGCCCCTGATGGGGGACTCCTAATGAGTCTTGGCAATCCTTACATTTATAAAGTATTGCATATAGGTCAGCAGTGCTGACCTAGATAGGGTAGGCATTTGAGTACTCCTAAAATTAATCCCAGGAGGCTAAAGTAGAGTAATCAGAAGGTAAATCAGAATCAACAAGAAGGAACTGTGCAGTGCTTGTCTTCTACTTTACAATGATCACACAGCAGCAGAGCAGACTAAACCTCTATTGAGATTTCAGCACCACTATGGATGGGACAATCCTACTAGGAAATCTTGTGAATTAAAATTCATGACAGCTGCTTCATTCTACCAGTAACTGGCAAGAGTCAGCTCTGTACTCTTGGAAACATTAAATGAGCTTGCATTTGTCTCTCCAGAACATAAGTACCAGCACAAAGGAAAAAAACCCCAGTGCGTTTAAATACAGTCTATACAAGGTCTTAGAATAGTTAAGAACAAATTGAGATAGGATGCACAGATTAAGCAACACTAAACAGCTTCCACAAAAAAAAACTCTTTTGGAAGACATCATTGCTTTAGCCATATAGTTTGGGAGATTTTTGTGCCTGCAAACTTTTATTTTGTTTTACACAGAGCTTCCTGGGCTAACTGTTCACCTCAGAGTTCACAGGTCACTTTTTTCTGAGGCTCTTAAAGATGATGTCATGGAAAATCAACATTTGTAGCAATGCAAATAGGGTTAGGAAGTACTGGAGTTCAGTGCTCATTTTAACAACTTCCGCAGACTGCCTCCAGCCTCTGCTTTCCTTCAATCAGGTAAAGTGGTGTGTACCATTGATCACAGTGCTGAAGTTTATTAAATGTATTTTTACTAGGTAAAAATCTTTCAAACCGAAAATACAACATACTGTAAAGAACTGAACTGGATTAGAAAGCTGAACTGCTTAGAGCGGGGTGTGGGGAGAATGGAATGAGCGGAGGAGGAGGTACATGCTGCAGTACTAAAATTAAATGATACCAACCCTAACAGAACAATCAGACGTAACACGGAGAAGGCCACATGCACCCCAGGCAGAATTAACTTGTGTAAGAGTGGAAAAGCCACCTGTTGGCTCCCGTATGGCTCTTCCATTAAGGCAGGGGCGGGCAGTTATTTCAGGCAGAGGGCTGCTTACTGAGTTTTGGCAAGCCATTGAGGGCCACATGACAGGCAGCCAGGGGCAGACAAACATTAATTTTCTATATTATTTAGGGGCCCCGTGGGCCGGATAGAATGGCCTGGCAGGCTGCATCTGGCCCCTGGGCCGCATTTTGCCCACCCCTGCATTAAGGAGTAAGGTGTTCTCCCCTTTTGTTGTGGTGGTTGATTTTCCAAAACCTTTAGATATCCAGGAGGAGCAGAGAGGGGCAGGAATCTGTCAGTGTACTAGGCCATCTCAGTAATACAAGGCATTTTGCTCTACAATCCCATTTTATGATTGCTCGTAAAGGAACCAGGATCCTCTACATTTCCCTTTAGCAAGTTCTCTCTAGGTTTTTCAACATACAGTACAACAAGGCAATTTCCACAAGATAGCATCTAGATTTCTGCAACAGGTTGCTAGCGATTCCTTTCCTCACCAATTGACTTAGACTTTTAAATCTGAGCTAGACTCAAAAACAAGTTGCCATTGCCTAACACCTCTTTGTCAAATGACTTTTAGGAAACTTTTTGGTCATTGCAGCATTTGACTTGAGGCTGTCTCTTACAGGCTTCAGTACAGTTATATAACAAGGGGTGGGCAACCAGACCCTGCCACTACAGCCGCCCAGAGCACAGACCCTGGTGGTTACAGCTCTCCTTCAGTGCTTAGCATGCTCATCTTTTCCATGAAGCTTTTCTAGGGCAAATTGTTACAGTGAAGGCCATGAGGAATTTTTTTAGCTCCTTCAAGTGTTCCTGTAAAATAAAAAATGCCTCAGAAGTCCCTGAGATATTCCAAACATGATTCCAAGTATACAAGTGAGGAACTATGGTGCCCCTCGATAGTTACAGCAAAAGGTCACCCAATAAATCAGCTGGCAAAATGCAATTTAAGAGCCAAAAGAATTTCACATTACAATATCTAGAAAGAGATGGGGGGGGTGTTCATTTAACAGTAAATATCTCCAATAATCCAACACATTTATCTCCTTCAATTTGATCATTTAAAATGACTATGTAAGACTAATAGTAAATATCAAAATGCCCAACCCTGGATACTATAAGTTATATAGCAAATACCACTGTGAGGCATCTAAGTGGAAATAGACTTCTGCAGTGCTGAGCAAACCCAGAGAGGTCCCATCAATACCACTGCCTACTGAAGGTGCTCAGTACCACTCTTATTGAAGGAGAGGCTTTTTCTGATTAGGCATCTAAACATGACTTAGCATGTCTAATTTCTGGCATCCACATTCAACAAGCATCGGCTTCTCTCCAAACAGCCTCCGTGGCCAAGAGGTAAATATAATTCCAAAAACTACAGATTCAACCAAGCTGCAATAGGAACCCAACCCACACATTTGGGGTTGGGGGTGGAGGGAGGCATCAGCATTCAGGGATACGAGCACAAATCTATAATGTCCAAGAGCTAAGAGTCATAAGCCAGACAGTAGGGACTAGGCAGCAATGCAGGCAGGAACTAGGCAAAGCAAATGAGGAATCAGACAGGAGTCAGTCTCAGAGATGGAATGAGGAGCCCGCCTAGGAAACCTAGAACAAAAAAATTCAAGAGCACTAGGCCCAACCAGAGGGGACTCTTATCTTAGTGAGATCACAGAGCACTGCAAGAGCTGCTACTTACATGCTGCAGCCATATCCCATCACTTTAACTGGGGGCAGCTGATAGCAGCCATTCCCACCCAGGTAATCAGAGCTTAAGTCTGCCTTTTGCCTTTTTTTTTTTTTTTTTTTTTTTTTTTTTTTTACACAAGCCGAACTGTTGTTAATCATGAATCAGGTTTCAGCATGGATTTCCACCATGAACAGGAATCTTGTTATACACTTAAGCATCTCACAACACTCACTTGCAATTTTGTGGTAAACAATGTTCTCAAAATACTTGTTCTTACAGTAAAGCTAGGATACGCAACTGCCTATACCCTTTCAACATGAGGTCATCATAAGCATTTCCATTCATCTTCCCACTTTATCTGCATAGATGAAACTTACTATATTTCCCTTAGTGAGATGTCCAGATCAAGTAAGGGAAAAGAGACACAGCAGACTGAGATACTACAATGAAGTTCTTCCTTGTGCAAAGACCAGAGAATTACAAGCAGATGGAGAACGCCAACACTCGGCATTCTGACATTTACAGAGTACACAGGGAGCGAGTCTGCACCCACCAGTATAACCCAGCATTTTCTGTTCCTTCCTAGAGTTCACACAGCTTCCATGCCACCAACTGGAAAAGCCTGTGGTGTGTCAACATGCACATCTGCTCCATTTCCTTTCAGAATTCTTCTCTTGTCCAGGGATGCTGCAAATAATCATAAATACTGCCCAAAAGAGGCAATGCTATGAGAAATGCACGTGCCTCCTTTCCTCCTGAAACATTCCCAAGGCACTTTGCAGACCAAGGAGAGAAGAGGCGAATGAAGATGCTTCTTGAAAACAGTGAAAATCTATGGGAAGGGAGGTCTAGAGAAGGTTGTGCCAAGTGCATGTATTATTCATGGACACCATTCATATTGTGCCAAAGCAGCTAACCTCGCTCCCCATTTTAATAAGAAGCTGAGACTAGGAACAAAGATTTTTATAGAAGCTGGGTTTAGGGAAGCTGGGGAGTGATTTAGCAGGTTCTCTCTAATAAGTTTCTAAATCGTTAACATTATTTGCTCATAGCCTTTGCTTTCAGACTTAGTGCACATAGGAATTTTGGCTTCCATGCTTCTTCCTGTTATTTGCTGGTTCATCAGAGACAGTCCCAAAGTGAAAGACCTCAATGGAAAGCATATCTTGATAACTGGATGTGACAGTAGGTTTGGGCACTCACTGGCTCAGCAACTTGCCAGAAAGGGTTTTTGCGTCATTGCTGCATGCCTAACAGAAAAAGGAAGTCAAGAACTGATAACCCACAAATCCCTCTCCTTGAGGACTGTGATACTGGACTTAACTGATTCCAGAAGCATCAACAATGTAGTGGCATTTGTCAAAGCAGAGACTGAGGGGCAGGGTAAGTGGTATACTTGCAGATCATAGGAATTGCTAAATATGCCCTTATAATATAGAACAGAGTTCTGCTAGTAACTATCTGTGACACACCCTGAGCCGGGATTCAGTCAGATGCGTCATTGAAACACACTCCTGAGACATCCTCAGTACTTCTGGGCTGCCCTTCAGACACGGCTCCATCTCTCCTGAGATGCTCCAGCAGTCACCTTGCTGACTGGTGGTGCCTCGGCTCTATCTGCCTCACCCAGGTCTTGCCAGCTCTTAGCAGAGCGGAGTTTTCCAGCTAGAGGAATCACAGCCTTGTCCAGTCATATGCTCAGAGATTTTAGGTCCCCTCCTTCTGTAGAAGAGACCTGTATGGTGAAATGGTCTAAAATCACACTTACCATTAACACTAAGTTAGTTATAAAAGATAAAAGAAATTAGTAACCATACATTGAGAGACATGCAGAGATATAAGAATCAACAAACAAAAGGAAATATCAGAACAATGATCTGATCTTACTGTGGATCTTAAACCTGGGAATGAAGCTTCTACTCAGCTCAATAGATTAGAAAGCAGCTGCTACCTCTGACCTTCCTCTCAGAGTTGCTGCAAATTCTTCTGTCAGCCTATTTCACTCAGTCTAGTAGCCGAGGGACTAAAACACCTAATGCCCGAGAAACTCTAGACAAACACTTGCTCCTATGGCAAAGCTTCAGCATGGTTTCTTATCTGGCCATTTAAATACATTATCTACTGGATTCTTGAGGAGCCCAAACTATGCATATAGCATCCTGCCCCTTGGGCCCAAAGGCCAGGAAGTTGTATGCATAGTTTACTAGACCAGAAGATATGCATCTGTTTACCAGACCAGAAGTCTTTCCTGCTCGATTTATGACCAGAGAGTACTTACATCTTTTCGGACATATCCTAAGGACACTGTTTTCACTTCTCCAATTATGAGATTTATGAGATTCATAATGCTCCAATTTTGAAGTTATGATTATTATCCTTCCCTGAATATCCTAAGTAGTCAGGAATTGGTCTCACTACAAGAATCTTCTTTTAAAGTATAAATTTGTCATTTGTTTGGAAAGGCCTGGCTCATGCCTCAGACCACATTCACAAGCATCTATTTGACTGGCCATTAAAAACACCCATGTCGAACACTAATTCTCAGCAATTATTCCTCTCTGGTGCAAAACTCCTTGTTTAGAGTGTAACTCTTAAAAATCATTATATTATGCAATCCTGGCTCTACTATAACATATAAGAAATACATTTATATAAAATACCAGAATGCTTTATTTGTATCATCATTAGGATGATAAGGCTAAATACAGCTTGAGCTACCTATCCATAAAAACTACACATAATTTTTCAAATTATTTAAATTTGAAAAACATGCATGACATTCCACAATCATCTAAAAACACTGTGGGTTTATGACACCTCCCATAATTAGTGCAGAGGAATATTCCTTGTACTG